AGAGAGCCGTGACAGGATCGAGAGGTGAGCGAACCCGGTATGTGTTCGCTCACCTCCCGATCTACTGAGCCGACCTGGGACAGTCCATTGTCGCAGGTCGGCTAGAACTATGAGGTGACTGAAATGTCAATATATTTTCATTATAGTTTTAGTCATCAAAACTCAGTTTTTATTTAGTTTTAGTTTAGTTTTAAACACTGAAAAAGGTAAACTAGGTAAATTATGACGGAAATTATAAGTGGGCGATATTAACACTGCTACTATATTATAACCAACTAGAACAATACCTAGCAAAGTAATACCTACAGTATTATTCTGGAACTGTACAACTCAGCCTATAAAATGCATGGGACATTGACAAGAATGTGAAAAGGAAGAGAAAATGGAACATTCAAACTGGCATTTCACTGTATTTAGATATATAATGTTAAGACATGACCAGTACCTGCATCCCGCTGGGGATATCATACACTATGCGAATAGTCTTACACTCCGGGTACCCCGGGAGGGAGTGAGGAATGACATGAAACTCCATCTTCCCGGGAGGCTGTGTGCCAGTCTTCTCTCCATAGATTGCTTTACAGGTGGGACACTGCAAGCTGCCATCCTGCAAAGATACCATTTTTAAATGTATAGAAGATACAGCAATTATTTTCTCAGGATGACCTGCACACTGGAACAGTGTATGCAGCTACCTGTGTTTTTCAGAGAAACTCAGAGATCCATCACACTTGAGCATTATATGGAAACTGGAAATTATTATTTCTACACCTAGCTAAATATACATTTATCTTTCTATGTGAGTTGTTCTGGCCATCACTAAGGGGTTGAACTATAAATATTCCACCCAGCGTATAGCTAGGCGAATGCCGTTCGCCTGGCATAACGCCACTAGATGGGGACAAGTAGCAAAGTAATTTCCACTAGTGGTGGAAATGCTATGCAAACAGCATTTACCCAGTTGTATGCTGGACAGAATTATAAATAAGGCCCTAAATAAAGTTGGTAACTAATACTATCATAATTACTAATGTATAAAAATAGAATCAGAGATTTTTATTTTGTTTTAAGCATACCACAACTCACCTTGTTACCATTATTATACATGGCCACCAGGCACAGAACATGGTACATATGGGTACACTTCCCCAATTTTCCAACCAGGTCTGAGCGAATCCCTTTGTGAGTCAAGACACCCTCATACCCAGATGCAGTGACCAGACGCTCCATGCAGATGGTACAGTCCTAAAAAGCCAGAAACAAACCTTCAAACAGAGTTCTGCTCTTTACCCTCTCATACAATATCAAATTATATTTGCCTTTTCAGAAAGTACTTCCAATGTATCAGTTATATGGCAGCTGCTTTGCCAATCTGCATGAATGGCATAACCACAGCTACTTTACCCACTCATGTTATAACACTGATATTAAAGAAGTCACACACATACACAAATAATACATCTCCTTGCTGAGCTATAGCCTTTTCTTTTTCTTTAAATGTACAAAATGGATTTTCAAAGCTTACTCTATTTTTTTTTTCTATCATCTAAAGCTGGCTATACAATGGGTACATTTCTTGATGAACCGGCTAAAATAGGCTCAGTGGGAGGACCTGTCTGCCAGCTCCTGCCCGACATCCTTTGATTGGAATATTGAAGGAACTGGGCAATAAGTTGTAGGCTGAACAGCACCTTAAATCAGATGCAGGCCTTGTTCAGGTATTTTGACAGCGACGGAGCTAACTGTTAAAATACAATAGGAGATTACTCCATCCATGCTGTTTAGTGAGGATGGAGGAATCTGTTAGATTTTTTTCTAGCCCAAAAGCTGAACAAAAAGAATCTAATAATGTAAAGCTAGTTTAATGCTGGCAACCCCATTACATTCTGACTGTGCAAGGAACTACCTGACTGGATATAAACTGAAGAGGATGCTTAGGAAGGGCCTAATACTACAAAGCTGGTAGTAAATTTAAAGGAGAGTGTATACAGATTGTACAATTATTTTGCAACATGTGGGCAGCCTAATAATCAACAGCTTCACCAGTTGTTGTGCTTACCTCATCTGGTGGAGACTTCACTTTCTGTATGTATCTTCGCACTACCTCCTCTGGATTCTTACCTGTCAATGTGAGAAAGATAATTTCAGTTAAACTTTGTTGTCTGGAAGCACTGATCTCTCTGCAGAGATATGACACTCCCCCTGCTAAAGCAGATATATAGAGGGATTTTCCCAAATTTGACTGCAAAAGTGGAAATACACTTTAAGTACTTTCTAAACCACTGACCAAGAACAAGTATGTAGATTAGGAGTTCTAACAATGCTGATACGTATGTTTGTCCTGGGTCAATGTCTCCAAAATGATTGGTGCCAGAGAGAGCCAGACAACAAGCTTTTTATATTAGATTTCATATTTTTATAAACAGCTTATACATTTCTATCAGTTTAGGTCCACTTTAAATAAAAAGTAACTGATATGTAATAACTGGATATAAGGTCTCTTGTATATAGAATACATAACGAAAAGTGTGGTCCTTTTAACCACAATTCCTTTGGTCCTTTTATACACTGATTTGTCAGAGCATTTTTAAAAAGCTATGTTTCAAAAGAAGAAATCCTCTTTGCATTGTTGAGTTTAAGTATAGGTAATCCTCAGGATAGATTAGGAACCATCCCTAAAGAGCTAACCTGCCAAATGTTTCTGAAGCTTACATCAACTTTACAAGCCTGTAAACCTATAGAAGAAAAAAAAGCATTCTGATCTGGTTCCAATTCACCTCCCCGAAAGACTAGGTATAATGGGCTGTTACAGAGCATCCGTCATCTCTGCAGAGCTACAAGAACAAATGATCACAATAATAGAGCGCAAACAGTAGAAAATCTTGCTGCCAGATCTTTATTACAATGTGTCTGTAAAATACAATGTTCCACCTGAGCCAAATATAAGGAAGATTAGACGACAAAATGTGTGTATAATGACCATATACGAGATGTCATTGTACAAACAGATTTTATATGAGTGCTGACAAGCAGGAGTATTTACCAAAAATGACATCACAAACAGCCCAATTATCATTCATAATCTCCCTGTGGACAAGCACACAGCAAATGTATATATATACAGCCACCTTTACTTATATGAACACTTACAAATGACAGCCTTAAAGGTACATATAAATGTATGTATGCATTGTATAAAATTATACAAAGCATACATACATATTACATGGGCGTATTCTGCTCTTCCTTTGATTTAGTTCAAGTATTTATATCTTTCACCACATTTATATCCAGACCAGGCTGTTCAGCAAAAGTGATAGTGACAGAGATTAGGACACACTATACAGTAAATGTGACGATGATAACAGAAGCATTTACTGTGAAGTCTGATAAGCCCCAAACAGCGTGGCAAGAATGGAGGGATTCCTACAGAATGGAGTGCCCCCATCATTTCTCCAAAATCTGCAAATTGGTGACAAAAACAGTCAGATTTAAATCTTAGGTCTGTGGTGGGTAGCCAGAGAAGGTGATACATTTGATAAAGCACATGTAACAAAACATAGCCAGTTTAAGACACATTTACCAAACACAGTCCAAGCTAGAAGCAAAGCAAAGATGTTGTAAACCCCCATAAGCCAGACACCCAAAAATGCTCCTAATGCAGCCCTGTTGTAACTAGCCAGGTCATAAAACAGTCTCCAGAACTACCAGTGCCAAACTACTATGAAGCTACCATATTGTAAACTCTGTTACATTTCTGTCTGGGTGTGACAGCAAGCAATACAGACATATTATTTGAAAGGTCAGAATTACAACCGCAGATGCTGTGAACGGTGCATGTTTTCGATAAAACATGTGGTGGCTACTGTTTGTGTGAAGGGATTGCTGTGTAGTTAACGTGCTCCAGTGCAGATCACTCTCAGTCTCTTGGTGCTTAGATTGTTGTCCCAGAGCAGGAAAATCTCAAAATGGGAGGCTGAGTGTGTAACAGAACGTGCGGTCAGAGGAGGCAGGTGAGGCAGCGCCTCACCTAGTATTATGGAGGAAAAAGCTGTCAGCTTCAAGTCTGAAGCTGACAGCTTTCTCTCCATTCAAAGCGGCTTGTAACAGGTTACAGAGCAGCGAAAGACTCCCTGCTGTGTAACCTGTCATGGACGGAGCGCTGCCTGTTAATTACAGGCAGCACTGCATCCGGCTTTTGACAGCTTTTAGGTTACACAGCAGCGGGCTTCTCCACTGCTTGTGTAACCTAACATAGTGAGGCAAGAGCTGCAACAGTCTCTACTCTATGTTAGAGGCTTGAGCTCTGTGGATGGTTTGGACCAATGGCAAAGCGCCATTGGTCCAAGCTGTCCAATCAAAAAAAAAGAAAAAAATAACACTGAGGACATCAATCTCGATGCCTCACCAGTGACAAGTAAATGAGGGACAGGGAGGCTCCTCCCTGTCTCCTCCCTTCCTTTCCCTCCCTCCTCCGCACATAGCTTGGTGACCGGGATGGGGGTGGGGCTTCGGCAGGCTGGGGGCGAGGCTTAGGTAGGCTCGGGGGAATGCCTCACCCAGCACGGAAGGTACCACACGTCCCTGGTGTGTAATATGTCACATTCAGCGGTGGAATCTGACAATCTAATCGTCACAATAATGGCCCATTCGGACTTATGCACTGAGGTAAATGAATGGCACCGCATGTTAACATGCAAAATAATGGTAGTGCACTGCAAAAGACCACACAGCTCTGAATCCAGCCTAACATGGCCAGAGATGTTTTCAAGGCACTGGCGGAACTACCAGGGTCGCAGCGGTCGCACTTGCGACCGGGACCAGGTGTTCCGCCAGTTCGGGGGGTCCTGACAGGCCACACCCCCGCAGCACTTCATCTTCTATTCTTCACCGGGCAGCATGAGTAGCTGCGAGCGCAGGCCTCCCCTTCTCTTTGGTCCCCCCTTGAACTGGCGGAACACCTAGTGCGACCGCTGCGACCCTGGTAGTTCTGCCAGTGATAAAATGCTTTAAAGTGTTATTAAACCCTCAGGTGCTGTTGCATATATGCACTGGCGGAACTACCGCGGTCGCACTTGGTGTTCGGGGGGCCCCAGAGAGAAGAGGATGGCACAGCGAAAAATGCGATTGGCCGCAGCGGCTCTAATCGCACCTGTCAGCGATCCCTCTCTCTCCTCCCGGCCGCTGCAGCTTCAGAGCGGCCAGGAGGAGAGAGAGGGAGAGCAGACAGGTGTGATCAGAGCCGCCTCTCCGAGCAGAGGAGAGGCAGGTAAGTTCCTGCCCCCTTCAGAAAGGTCCCGCCCCCCTCCACGCCGTGTTGAGTAGACAGTGAGGGGAGAGCTGCACTCGCAGCCCTTCCTTTTTAGATGTCGCAGGAGTTCCAGCACAGTGCTGTGCTAGAACCTCTGTATTGAGGGTGGCAGATTCAATAAGGAGAACCTGTCACCTCCAAATATCACACATGGGGCTTGTTAGCTCTTGTGTGATAGCAATAAAGTTAAGTGGAAAAAAAATGATAAATTATCAAATACATAAACATTTATGAAAAAATAAGTAAAAAATTATAATGAAAATTATAAAAAGTAAAAGATAGTAAAATGTAAAAAAAAATAAAAATGTATAAAAGAAAAAAAAGTGATAAAAAAGTTTTTTAAAAAAAATTAGAGGTGCACAGAGCCGTCAATCTCTTTTTCTGCAGCCCCTGTTATCAATGAACAGGAATCCTCTATACTGAGTGTTCCTGTTCAATCATAACATGAGGACAGAGTATGTTTACTATAACCACAATCATGAATGAACAGGAAGTGATGTAGATTA